CATCCATCATCCATACATCCATCATCCATCCATCCATCCATCCATACATACATCATATTCCGCTCGTTCCAAAGTTGGGTTGCAGGGGCAGCAGCTTGAGCAGGGAGGTCCAGACATCTCTTTCCACGGCCACCTCTTCTAGGAGGACTGAGACATTCCCAGGCCAACCAAGAGACCTAGTCTCTCTAGTGTGTCCTGGGTCTTCCCCGGGGTCTCCTCCCAGTTGGACATGCCTTAAGCACCTCCCTAGGGAGGCACCCAGGAAGCATCCTTCCCAGGTGCATGAACCACCTCAACTGGCTCTCAATGTGGAGCAGCAGCGGTTCTACTCCGAGTCTCTCCTGATAAATGAACTTCTCACCCTATCTCTAAGGGAGAGTCCAGTTACCCTGCAGAGGAAACTCCTTTCAACCTCTGTATCCACGATCTGATTCTTTCAGTCACTACCCAGAGCTCATGGCCATAGGTGAGGGTAGGAACGTGGACCGACCGATAAACGGAGAGCTTTACCTTACAGCTCAGCTCCCTCTTCACCACAACGGACCAGCACAGAGTCCACAATACGATAGAAGCTGCACCAATTTGTCTGTCAATGTCACGCTCCATTCTTCCCTCACTCGTGCACAAAACCCCGAGATACTTGAACTCCTCCACTTGAGGCAGAACCTCACCCTCGATCCAAAGAGAGCAATCCACCCTTTTCCAACTATTGCAATCGTACAATATCACGTGCAATTGCGATCAATCTTATTTTCCAACATTTAGCTAAAAAAAGCTAAAGCACATTTATTTTCCTACTTGGTTTAAAACAGCCAATATTCTTCCCCAGCGCTGAACTATTTTAAGTGTTGTGAGAAGGAACGGTTCAAGGATTAAAAGCTTTTTAGCCCCAGTGATTTTGAACTGGGCTGCAGACAGAAAAGGCAAAGATGACGTGTACCAACAAAAAAAAAAAGGAAAAAGTTTGGTTTAATTTGAAATCCCCACAAAGGATGGTTGTAGGATTCAAATGCAGTCACTCCAGATGAAATTCAAGAACGAACTAAAGGTGCTGAAGGAGGAGGATGGATACAATTCGACAACTCTTTTTTTGGGGCAGGGAAAAGTAAATAACTAAGTGGATGCAGGTAAAACACAAATAAGGTGCGGTTTCTCAGAACATCCAGAAACTTCGCCCAAAGATGATGCTCCAAAAGAATAAAACAAAAACATTTAACACTTATTATCTTTGACTAACCCTTTGAATGACTCGGCTACTATCAAACCAAACTTTACCTCTGTATCTGTAGAACTGATCGAAGTTTAGGTTTTTTTTTCAGTTAATCCAACAATTATATCCTGAAAGTTTAATTAAGGTCCATCCAGTGGTGCTTGAGGTATTTTGCTAACAGACAGATAAGTTTAAAGCCAGATGTAAAAAGAATATATTGCACAATTTGTTCGTGCTCAGAGTATGTGTAGAGGATGACTCAGCTAATTTTACCTTAATATCTGTTAAATACAGACATTTCTGTGTTGGCTGCAGCAGCCATCTTGAATCAGGCTGACTTTTAACATCCTATGATCACTTCCTGCAAGTTTGACAGAAGGTCCATGTGGCAACAGACACTCAGTCTCATCGAAATTTCCCTTTCGACGGCTGGTAAAGATTAACTGTCGTATCTGGATGAAAAAAATCCCAACATTTTTAAACAAAAATTAATTCCCTTTTGTTAATCTGCGGGGATTATTATTATTATTTTTTACATTTGCATTAAAGAAACGTTCATTTAGGATTAAATATTACTTCTGGCTTTGCTTCAGAAACTCATAAAACAATCTTTTGCACAAGATGTTCCCATTTCCATCACTTTTCCTTAATGATCACTGCGCCACATTTTGGATAATAATCTCTTACTGTGTATAAACCGGTCCGTGCGCTGCACTCTCACTCACACTACCTGCCTGGAACGCTCTCGGAGCACAGGAAAGTAAAGAGCAGCTTGCTATTTGGTTTTCAGGGCAGATCAAAGGTGGTTCTGTTCTCTGTCGGGACTTCCAGTCCTGTCTGTTTGACAGAACGGGTCGTTTGAATTTGTCTTTTAAAATTAAAAACATGTCGGGTTACTCACAGGAAGCCGGCTCGTTTGGCCCTGCAGACTATACAGTGTTTGTGCTCATGCTGGTGGTGTCCTCTGGCATTGGGATTTACTACGGCTGGGTCGACAGGAGAAAGAGAAGCTCCAGCGAATTCTTAATAGGCAAACGCACCCTCACCGCCCTGCCCGTCTCCATGTCGCTCACCGCCGGCATCATGTCTTCCACCACGATCTTGTCCAGCCCGGCTGAGGTAAGGAGGCACAACTCCAATTATTCAGTTCTCTTCAAGAAAAAAGGTCAACAAGAGTCATTTGGTCAAACAAATAAAAAATGGTCTAATATTTAAAAAAACTGCACAATAAAATCTAAGCAAAACAAAACTGGCTCAAGAAGAGATAGAGCTTCATGTCAGCAGATATGAAATTAAACTGTCCCAAGTATGTCCAAAACGCACCTCCTGAAACGCTGGAAGTTTTTGTTAAATGTGATTAAAATAAACAAATGAACTAAACCAATTCTATGTCACTGTGTTTAATCATTTACTCAACAGGTCTGAGTAGCAAGGGTCATATTTACAATTGTTATTAAGTCAGTCCGATTCTAACCCTGAGAGACATCTGCGCCCACTCTGGTTAAAAACGTGATTTTAGCTGATGGCAGTCCATTTAAAGTGGACCCAGATCTGGACTGTAGACAGCTCAGTCCGTCTAAGGCCCTGTTCAGACCTTGCACTTTATGTCCGGTGGTCAGCTCAGACAGATAGTGCTCACACCCGGCCAAATGAACGAATACGCAGTAAACACAATGGTTTATAGTAAGAAACACTATAATTATGAGAACAAATAAGGGAATTTGGAATTTTTTGTCATCAGGACATTTAAAAAAGTTTGAACAGGGACAACAAAAGGCTGTAAAAGACAGGTATGAATAAGCTGGAGGAGCATTTTGCAGCTCCATCCAGCCATTGTTCCACAGCCACCTCTTCCATCTCCTCTGGGAGGACTCCAAGCAGACATGGTCTTTTCCATTGTCTCATTCAACCTTTATTTATGCAGGTTAGTCTCTGAGTCACAAGGACTCACTTTCAAGAGACCTGTTTTAGACAGATAAAGTACAGACAACAATAATTCAACAAAACAAAAGCGTAACAAAAGGCCTTTCTGCCGAGTTCAGTCTGCAATGAGGGAACGCTGCAGGTAATGATGGCCTGAGAGCGCACGTTGTAACTGCACTGACAACATGACATGCAGGAGGAGATATAAGAAGATAGCAAGCCAAGGACTGATTTATAGATGAAAATGTACCAGTGTGAGAGCCTACGTGTAGATAATGATGACCAACTGACCAATGAGTACAGGGTGCAGTGGTGGGTACGGTAGTTACTACCAGTTATGAACCTTAGCACACCATGATAGACAGCATCTAACATCTGCAAGGTGCTTGCAGTAGCATTCATTTAAATAATGTCACCATAATTGTAGCGTCCATCCTTCCAAGAACCTTAAAGACAAATGTCCTCAGAGACACTACGTCTATCCTACTCCCTCCCTATCTGAAGACAGATACTGGCATGCTGTTTTGACACAGAAAGTTGATTTGTTTATCCCTTTTCTGTGGACGTTAAACCTCCCTTGGACCACCCTGACGGAGCCACTATACGATAATTAGTTCAGACTATTTGTGTCCCTTAAAAAGATCTCGATCCAAGAGCTTCACTTTGCCTTATCAGCAGAGACTGGTTGCCATGACAATAAAGGAAGCCAACACCCAGTTGATGTTCTGCTTCAAAGAAACCCATTTGCTTGCATCAGCATGGTGCCAGAATCTAACTTGCATTTTTCTAAAAGAAAATGTGTTCACGTAATGGTGTCACTCTTTTAACAAAAGCCATTGTATTACCTTCTGAGACTTTGAGGGAGGTTTAATTACATTAAATTATACAGTGGGATGCTCGCACTGTGAGAAGCCCTCTGATTGGTTAAAAGTTAAAGGGGCCCATCTTCCTGATGTCAGGTATACAGAACACTGGCATTTGTGGGATGGCAGCCAAGTAGGAATGTTGGCTTTGGATCATCAGCTGAGCAGATGAAATGAGTGGTTGTGGAGTGTTGATGAGACTGAGAAATAACAGCCATATGATGGAAGATGTGTCCAGCTGAGAGATGGTGGACATCCTGAAACTTCCCAGGAGCAAAAGGTATGCGCCGAACAGACTGCAGCCCTGAGAAATGACATCCTTCTTGGGACAGCGGACCACCGGCTTCTTCCTTCATGCGTCCGCTGTGGTAATGAGTAATATACATCTTCCTTCTGATGAGAGAACCACGAAACAGTGCCAACTAAGTTTGTTTAGATAATTTAATTCATGAAGCTGCGATAAACTTACCTAAATTTTAATGTTAAGAGCTAAGAACCTTAGTCCAAATTGAATCTAAAACTCCTTCTCAAAGTTCTCAGATTTACGTAATTCACGTTCTAAAATAACTCTATTGGCTGTTCATTTCTCCTTAGAGAACTTTACTAACTGGCTTTTATGTATGTGAATGTTTTTGTAAAGTGCCCTGAGACAACTTTGTTGTGATTTGGTGCTATATAAATAAACTGAATTGAACTGAAATTGAATTTATATTCCATATTTGCCACAAGTTTCATATTGTTATTATTCAAACCGACAATAAACGTTACAGAATTGTATTTCAATTACCGGATTCTTGCTTGGTTTTTCTTCAAGGGACAGGAATTAAGTTCGCTACAAGAATTCACGTGTTTATACTGTATATGCTTGAGGTGAGGCCGGTCCAGGTTATGTGAACGTAAATACCTGTTAAAGGGTGCCCGCCCGGACCAGAAGTCCAATATCCTATACTTATATTCCTACATATCCAATGGCTGGTAGGAAAGTAGCAGCTATAAGGCATTTCATAGCATTCAGAGTTAAACAAGATCTATTTCTGAAGAAGAAACCCAATTTAAATTTCAGTTTATTTATCAAGCTTTCAACAAAAGGCTTAAAAGAGAGATGTGCATCAATTAGAATTCCCAAGTATTTATAAGAATCCGCAAACTCAATAGGAACACCAAGCATGGCTGAGATAGGAGAAAAGACTGCTGACACTGCTGATTGTTTGAAAACAACATCCCTTTGGTTTTATCAGCATTTAGTACTAGATTGAGACGGAACAAGTCAGAATGACAAATGCAGACTATACCTATAGAAGCTGGAAAACCTTGGCAACTGTGTTAGTTCGGTAAACAATTGTATCGTCACCACAGAGATGCAAGGATGTGTCAGGAATGTTTTGACCTACATTATTTATATAAATCGCATGCTAGATAAACCTTCCTAGGTTGGCGTGCAGGAGACATCCTTACCAGATGCTCAAACCACCTTAACTGGCTCTTCTGGATGTGGAGGAGCGGCGGCTCTACTCCGAGTCTCTCCTGGAGTACTGAACGTACCCTATCTCTAAGGGAGAATCCAGCTACTCTGCAAAGAAGACTAATTTCGACCACCTGTATCCAAGATCTTGTTCTTTCGGTCACTAGCCAGTTGAGACCTTAGCTGATGGAACATAGACAGACCGGTAAACAGAGAGTTTCTCCTTGCAGTTCAACTCCTTGTTCACCACAACAGACCGGAACAGTGTCTGCAATACTCTGCAATACTACAACTATGAGATCGTGGATACAAGTAGCTGAAATCAGTTTCCTTTGTAGGGTGACCCAGCTACATCTTAGAGATAAGGGGAAGGAGAATAAAGGAGCTCCTCGAGTCGAGCTGCTGCTTCTCCACGCCAAAAGAATTCGAGAGGGTATTGGATTAGGATACATCCTGGACATCTACCTCTTTCGGGTTTTTGGGTATGTCACACTGGAACCATGGATATCCCAGAACGTTCTGACTGAGTTATCCATCCTCTTTGGCCTGTGGGTGCCTTGGGAATGCACAGGAGGCTCTGGAGAGAGTACATGGGGAGATGGATGTCAAGTTTCAATGCTGGACCTGTTACTTCCATGATCCAACCTTGGCTAAACAGAAGACAATAAACAAAACGATGGGCTTTTTTTATAAATCACTGTAAAATCTTATGTAATGATCAAATCTCTCCTCTGATGTAGGTGTACCGCTTTGGGGCCATTTTTGGACTGGTTGGCATTGCCTACGCTCTGTCAATGGTGGTCACATCTGAGATCTTTCTCCCTGTCTTCTATAGGCTCGGCGTCACAAGCACTTACGAAGTGAGTGTGATTATGTTTACAGATTGTCCCTCACATGAAGCAAACTGTGGAAGAACATTATTTTGTGCCTACTACTGTTTGTATTAAACTCAAGAGAATGCAATTTTTTCTTTTACCCCTTCCTCGTTAAGTATCTGGAGCTGCGTTTTAATAAAGCAACTCGTCTCCTGGGAACGGCGGGTTTTCTCATTCATATAGTAAGAAAAAATACATAAGCCTGTCATGTCTGTGGGCCTATTCAAATCTTTTACTCTGATAGTACCCATGTCGTTCTCCGTCACAGACCATGTTTGCTGGAATCACTGTTTATGGCCCAGCTCTTGCTTTAAACAAAGGTATCTTTGTTATATTCATTAACAAGAGGAAAACTCATCAACACATTTCATTCATCTGGTTTCTTTTGCTATTTTTGCAGTTGTTAACATGAGTCTATGGACTGGAATTGTTACAACAGCCATGGTTTGCACTTTTTACTGCACTCTGGTAAGCAAATGTAAAAAATATAACATGTTCAATTGTGCTTTGTTGCCATTCCGTTCAATCAAAGAGCATTTTGTGTCAGGTAATGTGCTTTTTGATTTGAAGACATCGGTTTGATGTGTATGTTTGCAGGGTGGGATTAAGGCAGTTGTGTGGACTGATGTGTTTCAGGTAGGTTTTTAAAAGTAAAGGGAAAACATTTAAATGCCAAAGTATCTTAAGTAAAGCTGCACGGATTTACTAGATGAACATCTACAACTGATTAACGTTTAGATGACCACCACAGCCAACTGACCTAAAAAAAAAAATGGTTTTAATTCAGTCAATGTCAGATATTGAGCTAAAACTTGGTGTGGTAGTAGCTGAAACTAGTTCCCAACGTGTGCTCTTAACATCAACTATTTGCGCAAGACCTGTGATTTAAACTTTACCATTAATTGTTGTCATCGACCCCGTCTGTTAGCAAAATCTCTCATAGGTCTTAGATTACGACAGTGGTTAAAGTTAAATGCATTTTTGGGTTGCTTAGGTCATTTTGCTTTGGCGGTCATCTTAAGTACCGGTAACCGGTTGTGAGGCCAACCCAATATTTACTTTTTGAGTTTCATATAAGGTGCATTCACACTGTACTCAAACCGCGCTGGAGTTCTCTTCTACCGGACCGAGACCTAGGTTTTAGCCCGGGCCAGAGTTCGCCTTTTTATTCCGTGACAGAGTTCGATGGCGCATTCACACCTCCCCAAACGAACCGGACTTTCTAGGAAAACGAGCTAAAGTTCGATTAAAGCGGACTAAACAGGGCTGGTGTGAATGCACCCTTAAATCCATTCAGTGGTTCATGAGATATTTTGCTAACAGTACAGTCAAATGAACACATATATAAGCCAAAACACCACTGCCCCTTTGTCTTCAGGTAAAAAAAAAAAAAAATGAACCTGTCTTTTTTTTTATTTATATTTTAGATCGGAATAATGTTGATGGGATTTCTGGCCATTATAAGCAAAGCCGTGATTTTACAAGGAGTTTCTACCATCTTTGCAGATGCTCAACAAGGAGGAAGGCTCAACTTTTGGGAGTGATTCTTTTAAAGTTATAATAATGAGAAATAAAAATCTAAACTTTGGGAGTAAATGTACAGAAAGGGGAAAATTTACATTTTATCTTTAAATACCTTTTAATCTTGCTGTTTTTCCTCTCTCTCTTTCTGTGTGTGTGTTTGCCCAGCTTCGATATAAACCCACTCAGGAGACATACCTTCTGGACTCTGGTTATTGGAGGGACGTTTGTCTGGAGCACTACGTATGGGGTCAACCCACCAGCCGTTCAGAGATACAACTCCTGCAGGAGCATCACTCAAGCCCGATTGTAAGACAGGTTTTTAGACAGGAAATTCTCAGCTAATGTGCCAAAAATATGATGCTGATTCAACATTCCCATGATTGTTTCTCTGTTGTTAGATTAGCTTTTTGCTACTGTTCAGCTACTTTTAGCTTTAAGTTAGTTTTTTTGCTACTTTCAAGTAATGTTCTGCTAAATGTAGTTTTTAGTTTTTGTATGTTTTTCACCTCCTCCTTGAATTGCCACTTTATCGTGATGAAGGAGTTTGTGCGCCTGAATGATCCAAGGAGCTATGCTGTAGGGTCTCCCAAGGCTGATTGGTTCTAGATGACAGCCCAGACAAAGAGCGATTCCAAAGACTCTTATGGACATAAAACAGCAAGGAGCTCAGTGTCCCTTGTCCAGACGTGGGTTACCCGGGCCCAACACTGGAGCCAGGCCTGGGGGAGGGGCTCGTCAGTAAGCGCCTGTTGACCGGGTCTCTACCCATGGGAACTGGTCGGGCTCAGCCCAAACGAGCAACATGGGTTTGCCTTCCTGTGGCCCAACATCTGCAGGAGGAGCCATATGAGTCAGGTGCATGGCACCATGGGCAGTGGCCGAAGGTGGGGACCATGGCGCTCTAACCCTGGCTTCCCAAAGCTGGCTCTTGGGACATGGAATGTGACCTCTCTGCCAGGGAAAGGAGCATGAGCTTGTGCATGAGGTTGAGAAGTACCGACTAGATATAGTTAGGCTCACCTCTATGCACAGCATGGGCTCTAGAAACAATCACCTTGAGAGGGGCTGGATCTTATTCCACTCTGGAGTTGCCCATGGTGAGAGGCGCCGAGCTGGTGTGGATCTACTCTTAGCCACCCGACTTGGCACCTGTGTGTTGGAATTTTCCCCAGTAGATGAGAGGGTAGCTTCCCTGCGCCTTCGGGTGGGGGGACAGGCTCTGACTGTTGTTTGTGCCTATGCGCCAAATGGCAGTTCAGAGTATCCGACCTTCTTGAAATCCTTGGGGGGGGGGGGGGGGGGGGTGCTAGAAGGTGCACCAGCTGAGGACTCCTTTATTCTGCCAGGGGACTTCAACGCCCATGTGGGTAACAACCTTGAGGTGCGTGATTGGGAGGAACGGCCACTCTGATCTGAACTCGAGCAGTATTCTGTTGTTGGACTTCTGTGCTAGTCATGGTTTGTCCATCACAAACACCATATTTGAACATAAAGGTACCCATAAGTGCACTTGGCACCAGGATGCCCTAGGACTAGGTCACTGATCGATGATTGACTTTGTATTTGTGTCATTTGATTTGCGGCCATTTGTTTTGGACACTCGGGTGAAGAGAGGAGCTGAGCTGTCAACTGATCACCTGGTAGAGTTGGATCAGATGGTGGGGGAAGATGCTGGATGTTTTTCACCTCCTCAGATGAAAGGATGCCAGCTAGTGATTTGTTATTTTTAGCTAACTTTTTGTTACTTTAGTTTTTATGCAACTTTCTGCTACTTTTAGCTTCTAGCTAACCTTTATAAACTTTTACCTTACCTTTTGGTACTTTTCTTTTTCTGCTATTAAGAAATAAACACTTGTCCTACTTTTAGCTATTTGTTAACCTTTTGATACTTTTGGTTTCTAGCTAGCTATTTGATATTCTAAGCTACCCTTTGTTACTTTAGCTTTTAGCTAGCCTTTTAACACTTTTAACCAACTTTTTGCTGCTTTCATCCAACCCATTGCTACTTTGAGGTAGCATTTTTGCTACTTTTAGTGTTTAGCAAATATTGTGTTACTTTTAGATTATAGCTATTGTTTTGCTGCATTTAACTTTTTAATAGCCGTTTGATTTAGCCTTTCAGTTGGTCCTGTCAAAGCCCAGACCTGATGAAGAGAAATTCAGTTTTTTTATGTAAAACTTGCACAACACAAGTGGTACCCATCCAACCTGAAAGAGCTGAGCAGTTTGGTTTCAAAGAACAGACCAATGTTCTAGTATCTAGATGAGAAAACCTGTACCAAGTACTTTACTGAGTGTTACTGTGTTTTATTGTTGTTTATCCCCAGAGCCGTGTACATCAACCTGTTTGGTCTTTGGGCCTGTCTGGTTTGCACCGTGTTGTCTGGACTTTCTCTCTATTCAGTTTATAAAAACTGTGACCCGTGGACGGCTGGACTGGTTTCTTCTCCTGACCAGGTGTATCACTAATTTTATTTTATATTTTTACAAAACACACCGGAACAAGGTGTGCAATAATGGATGTGCTTTGGTCCAACATTTCATGTAGTATATCTAATATTTAATTACATTTCTTTACAGTTGATCCCACATTTGGTGATGGATATCTTTACCAACAATCCTGGACTTTCAGGACTTTTCCTTGCAGCAGTTTATAGCGGGTCTTTAAGGTTTGTACAAAAAGGTCCAACTCAAATACCAGAATTTTTCTTTTCTTTTTTTTTCCTTTTTTTCTCTTTTCTTTTTTTTTCCCTCTTTTTTTTCTCTTCAACATTCATCATTAATAAAACTTACCTCAAGTTGCCTTTTTGGACATGCATGCATATATTTGTACAAATTGTACTTGAGAGGAGATTATTACAGCCTCATATAAAAATCAATGATGATCATGATATCGGAACAGGATCGGTATCGGCCGATATTTAGATCTAGGTATCGGGATCGGAAGTAAAAAAAAGTGGATCGGTGCATTCAATTCAATTCAATTCAAAAATAGTTTATTAATCCCAGAGGGAAATTATGTGTTTTGGTAACTCATCATCCTGGTTTCATTAATGAGTTGTTCTAGATGCTGATGGCTGTGGGCAGGAAGGATCTCTTGTAGCGTCTGTCCTACAACAGATTTGAAGAAGCCTCTGACTGAAGACACTCTGTTGTTGTATGACAGTCTGATGAAGAGGATGCTGAGGGTTGTCTGTAATGTTCTTCATTTTATGAAGAATCCTTCTTTGAACGATCATCTCCAAAGGTTATAGAGGAGTCCCCAGAACTGAGCCAGCCTTCTTTATGAGCTTGTTGATCTTTTTTTAAGTCACTTGCTCTGGTACTGCTCCCCCAGCAGATGATGGCAGAAGAGATAGCGCTCTCTACAACAGACTTATAGAAGATATGCAGCATCTTGCTGCAAACACTGAAGGACTTCAGCTCCCTCAAGAAGTACAGTCTGCTCTGTCCCTTCTTGTAGATGGCTTCACTGTTGCATTTCCAGTCCAGTCTGTTGTCCAGGTGAACTCCAAGGTATTTATACTTCTCCGCCACCTCCACTTCTTCTCCCATGATGGAAATAGGGTTGGACCTGTTCTTGATTCTTCTGAAATCTACAATCATCTCCTTTGTTTTGTTCACATTCAAGATGAGATGATTGTTTCCACACCATGCCACAAAGTGGTCCACCAGTTCCCTGTACTCAGCTTCTTGTCCATCTCTGATACACCCGACTACTGCAGAGTCATCAGAATATTTCTGCAGATGACAGGAGTCTGTTTTGTACTGGAAATCTGAGGTGTTATCCCTAGTTAAAAGCCTTCCTGGATGAACATAACATCAGTCAGCTCTGCTGAGATGTTTTAATTACGTCCTCCTGGCATGTGACTCGGGTGATCATGTGATCCTTGTGTTACTGGACTTAACTACTGCTTTTGACACAGTGGACCACAGCATTTTATTGTCACGTCTACAGCACCAAGTAGGCATCGGTGGGACTGCTTTGGAGTGGTTGGGGTCCTATCAGGCAGACAGAACATTTTCTGTAAAAATTGCAGGGTGTGAATCCTTTTCTGCTCCTCTGTCATGTGGGGTTCCTCAGGGCTCAATTTTAGGGTCTTGGCTTTTTTCTTTGTATCTACTTCCTCTAGTATCGATTTTGAGAAAACACGGCATCTCCTTTCATTGCTACGCTGATGAATGCCAAATATATGTGCCTTTAAAGCGAGTTGATGCTTGGTCCATTAAACCTCTTATCGTGTCTCGAGGATGTTAAAGCTCGGATGGCCCTAAACTTCCTGTATTTTAATTAAAAAATAGTCACTTGATTTTTGAGACACACAGTCACTTGGATCGCTTACGAATGATAATGCAGCATCCACAGTACAGAGATGTGGACTGGTTCTGATTTCTGAAAACATATGGTACCTTTGATGGTGTTGTTCTCTTTTCCAGCACAGTTTCCTCCTGCATCAACTCACTAGCTGCAGTGACCCTCGAGGACCTGATAAAACCACACAGCAAACTATCCGAAAACCAACAGTTCATCGTCTCAAAAGCACTGAGTATGTGACGGGTTATTATCTGGTTTGTCACTAAAGCCCCTTATCCACAGGGCCTTTTGGGGCTCCTATGTAACTAATTCAGGCCGATTGCGTGGTTTATCCACAATGCCTTCAGCGGTGGAACCCACCCCATTTTTGGGACCTACTTCTCTGAGGTCCCAGGTCTGGTTCTTGTTGGGTCTAGATGCGACATCAGCGCACTGTAGGTCACTGATTGGTCAGGGGGCGTATTCATTGGTGGAGGGCGGAGATCAAGGAGGTCATCCATTTTGGTTGTGTGTTGTTTTCTGGCTCTTCTTTTTCTAATACATGTTAGTGGTGCTTAGAAAAGAGCTTAATGTAACACTAGCGCCACCAGCTGGTAAGGTGCGTTGATTTTAATAATCCACCCACTAGAGGTGAACAATCTACCCACTAAACGGGAACTATGGGCACTGTGGAGACAGAAAAAAAGAAGTCCCACCAGAACCAGACACAACAGGGTCCAAACAAGAACCGACCCTGTGGATAAGGGGCTTAAGAAGTGACAGCAGCTGACGACTGGATCTCATTGTCTGTATTCATTTAATTGCAGATTTGTTTTACGGCCTTGTCTGCATTGCTATGGCTGGTATAGCGTCATTCATGGGAGGCATGTTGCAGGTAGACAAGAGAGTGACACATCTTTATGGTTTGCTTTTAGACTTGAATTTTTTTTTATTGTTTTGTTTCTTTTCTTAAACAGGCTGCTATTGTTCTTGCCGGGGTCACTGGAGGTCCTTTGTTTGGTCTGTTCTCTTTGGGAATGCTTTGTCCATTTGCCAACTCCAAAGTGAGTTCAACCTCTTCTCATTTTATGGTTGAATAGCCCAAAGTGTTGGAGAGTTATCAAAGGTTGGATTCCAAAACTCTCCAAAGCAAGAAGGGGCATAAAAGCCTCCCAAAAAGTTCTGGTGCTGCTCCAGTCTCCTTGCAGTAGGATGTGCACCAAAAAAAAAGGTCCAGCTGAGTGAGTCAGTATGTGTTTGTTCCCAGGGGGGGTTGTCAGGGCTTGTTATTGGTTTTGTTGCGACCCTATCCGTAAGCCTTGGTGACCTGATATCCCACTCCTCTCCTGAGATGACCCGACCACTGCCCTTGACCACTGAAGGTTGTAATTTCACAACAGCTGAGAACCAGAACTGCACTTCTACTGTTCTTCCAACAGAACCAAGCGTCATTACCACAACTCTGGGGCTGAACAGCGAAGACATGTAAGTGTGCAACTCGCAGTGATGACTTGAACTATGACTATATAAGTTAATGAGGACTTTGGTCCAAACCTTTTCCTTTTATAGAGCTGCTTACTAGGGGTGTAATGGTACACGTGGGTTTTGAACAGTTTCGGTACCGCATGTTCGGTTCATGTGCGTACCGTTTTGTTTATTTTTTCACTCATTAAATTTTATTAACAATAGATTATGCACCAGGGAACTCAAGTTCCTAAGCATGTTTCTGTGATTTTAGTGTACCGTTACACCCCTACTGCTTACACTCACTGATACAGTAAGCCAATCAGGTGCCCTTCTTTAGCAACATCTCACTGGTACCAATTTGATCCTAATGGAAGCAGGAAATGGTGGACCAAAAGCCTCACCGTGTCTCGGCTTTTGTTTGTTCCTCATCAGGAATTCTAGTTTTTGTTTCCTCAGGGTCTCTGAAAGATAAGTACTGTAATCCATCTGCAGATGACAGCAAACTCCTCACAGAATCTCCTTACTAGCGTCACCTTTTGTCTTTTTTTTCCTCCTTGGTTTGACCCAAAAACATGTTTGTTGTGTTTGGCGCCATCTTTCGAAAGAATGGGTGCTTTTTTTTTTAATACAGCAGTCCCTCGATACTTTGTGGTTCGACTTTCGCAAACTCATTCTTTTGCAGGTTTTCAACATAAGATTGTACATGACACACAAATGGCTGATTGATGAAAAGTGACCAACCAGAGCATTGTGCTGAGGGGCGGACTGGCCATCGGGAGCACCGGGACATTTCCCGGTGGCCTGGCCCACTTATTGATTGCCAAGTGGCTCCCTCTTTTCTCTTTCTAAGGCTGTCGGTCACAGCAGAGCAGACATGCAACCTGTTGTGTGTCTCAGTTCTGCTGCGACAGCATCAGAAAGAGAAAGGCGGGGCTCGTCTTTCCCCATCGCTACCGACCATTGGGAGCATTGGGAAATGTCTCGGTGCTCTCGATGGCCAGTCCGCCACCGAGCGCTGATTGGCTCAGTAACCATAGCATCAGTCTGTCTGCTCTCTTTCACTGTGCTCTTTTAGAGAGTTTAGAAAATTGTTAAGAACACTGCGAGAGAGTAGGATTTATTAAGCCTTAAAATATATAAAAATAATAAAATAAAGTCCCTACTTGGTGAATTTTCACCTATCGTGGGGGTGTCTGGAACATAACCCCCGCAATAAGTGAGGGACTACTGTACAGCCTATGTGGTCAGAAAAGAGTGTGCTGAAGTCATTTGTCTGCCGAGGACTCGGGTATACTTTAGTGTAATGACTCACAAAATGAGTTGAGATCCTGTTGTGGGCCAAGAAACACCAGTTGTGGGGTTTAGAACTGATTTACAGAAATCAAAATAACAAAAAAAAAAAGTTTAAGTTGTCGATGGAATTTTTTTGACAAAAGGGCGATTCTTCACCGAGCTGTGACCAACTGGCAACTCAAAATTGCAAGAAAATTAGGAAATTATCCGTTAGTTTCATCAAACTATCCAGCCAGCCGTGCAGCCACATTCTGAGCAGCCAGTATTTTGAAAATCAGTCTATTGTGTGTACGGCTTCCAAAACTGTATTCACTGTACCGCAGACCTGTCTCCATTTCAGTCCACTTTGAACCCAAATTGGCAGCCACTTCCATATACCAGTAATCCTCTGGTGTGCACATCAGAAATTCAAATTTGGACCAGTTTTTTAATACCCATTGGTGTAGTTTTTAGACCTGGACAGGCCTCGAGTGCTTTCAGTATCAGGAGAGCTCCCGCGCAGGAGTCAAAAAGGCCATAGAATTTGAGAAAACTAAACCAGGAAAAATTTGAGACGGGTTCAAGACTCCCACAACAACACTAATAATATTTTAAGAAAAGGTCACAATTTTCCATAAACTTCTGCGACTCTGGAGGAAATTGAGACTTAGAAATTTCCATTCGAGATCAAAATTGTTTAATTGCATACATTTTTGTATGTACTCATAGTCCAACCCCAAAGATTACTGATGCATACGATTTTCTCTCACCTCCAGTAACCTGATGGGTAAATGGTCCTCTCCTTCCTACCTTTATTTTTCTCTCATTGGATCCATAACAGTTTTTACCGTGGGAGTTACAGTCAGCATTTTGACAGGTAAAGAAATGTTTATTTATACATTTAGCCCGCATTGGGTTTTTAAATCTAACTTTTTTCCCATGTTCCTATTAAATATTTCAGGAGGCTGCAGGGATAAGGTGGAGCGGAGGCTTACTTTACAGAAAGAAGACACAACTGTCTACCACCTGTTTAGGCTAATCAAAGACTTTGTAAGTTCTGCTTTGAAGGAAAAGAATCAGACATTCTGAACAGATGCCGACACCTGGTCTTGTTGTTTTTCAGGTCACGAAAGGAGCAGACAGACCCGACCTGACAGTGCAGCCAGAAGGCGGCAACTTAAACCCTGCTTTCTGTGATTCTGAGATTTATACAAAAACAAACTCAACCTCGTCAAATTTCTGATCACGCTTTAAGTTTGATGCACCTGCTGAGGCTGGGTTTATAAAACCTAGCTCTTAGAGTGTAGAAGCAATAAAAGTGCACTGGACTACTTGGAATGTTTTAATGTTACATCATTGCCACATTTCAGATACTAAATTCAGATCAGTCAAAAATTAAAATGTAATAAAAGTTAAATGTCGCATTTGTTCGACAGAACTTTCATATTTAAATAAATCCACCTCCTCAATGCTGAGGCATACTCTTACGCGGCTCGCCATGCTTAACGGTGGCTCTCGTCTCGTGACTGGTTACAACAATACACCAGCACAGCCAATACATTTTTAAAACATACTGGCTCATTGCGCAATAATTGCGCATGTCGGCTCGGGCTTCTACGATTGCGTTTTCACGAATCATACAGCGCAAAGACAAAATGAGAATGCACAATATAATATTGTGTTAATCTACTTGTTGAGGAGGAGGGAGGTCAAACCGACCAGTAGGCGTAAAAAAAAAAAAAAAAAAGTCCTGTTAACCTCAAATGGATCAGCTGATCACCGGCCGTGCGCGTCTCCGCACCTTCTGTCATCTGTAGTGAAGGAAGTAGCAGAATCACAGGGCCGGTTCTAGGCATGGTTACATGAGGGGGCAGGTGGAACTGTGATGGGGGCATCTTCATCCATACACATGTTACAGCATATTCATTGTTGAGCATGGACTTTGGTATTCGTTGTTATTGTTGACTTGTGTATTCTTCATGGGACTGGGGTAATAAAAGCTGAATGTTTGCACCTGCGAGTCAACATTTTCAACCATGAACACTATCAAGCAAAAAGAGAAACTGACTGACCCATGCCCATCTTGAATGTCTCACTGTGGCTGCAACAACAAACTACAACATGAAGAAAGTCACGAACATGCACCACAGCTTCCACTCATCTCAGTACTAATGTACATTTTGTTTAAACCGATAAAGTGCTGGCTGTGTTTCTTTTTAGTTCATAGTTTCATTTTATTCTTTTATTTGAGTAACCTGGGGTGATATCACAGCTCTCCCCTTGACTTTGATCTGTCAATATGGCTCTTTTGAAAATAAATAAATAGTGAGGCTCACTGCATTATAGGGCCAGGCATGAAAATGAAGTCCCTGATACATCCAGGGTAAACTCAGGGATACAACCATTCTACAACTTACTCACAGTTGCTTTATTGATAATCAATTCCTATTAATGCATTATTTATCTCATTTCTAACCATCAAGCTTCCAGTTATGATACATGTTCACACTATTTATTGACTGTATCTAAAAATATTTTTAAAAAATCTAAGATATTTGAAATTTAAATGAAAATATGAAATATTATAAAATACAATTACTTAAATTATATTATTGTATATAGTAGGTCATTAAATCAGTGTCAGTTGAGTCTGTCAAACAAGTTGCCTGTATCAATACAGTTGGGCAATGTGTTGAAACGCTTCATGACGCCTCATCGACCCATTACTATGAATTAGACAAACTGAAGTACAAAGCCCCCCAAATATAGTCATACTGTTTAGTAAACTGTACGCACAGATTCTCAATAACACTGATGTCCATGTTCAGCTGGTCTTACGCTTTCAGTGTGAACATGGAAATAGATCAACAGGGACCGTCTATAAATTGAAAAAGAATGGCGGACAATAGGTCAAACAGTATACTTATCAGTCCTCAGTCCAGCCAAGTTTTGCAAAAGGTTTATCTGATTTTGCCTATAACCAGCCTAATAAAAAAGTTTTGTACTCGACTCAAGCTTTTATGTAGTTTTCAACAGATTCAACATTTGTTTACATTGACTGCAGACCTGCATTTCAGGATTGCACATCCGTATATTTGGAAAACTACTGGAGTGAACTCTTTCAAATTACAACATTTGGTATAGTTCAGGATAAACTTTTATGTTTGATTTCATACTTTACAACAAGTACTTTTACAGTAATTTATTGTTCTAAAAGTTGACATACCAAATAAAGACAAATATGAAACGAAACGAGCTGCAATTAATGCGAGCCATGCCGTCAACTTCAAAAGTTTCTGACTGAAAAAAGATGCCAGTTTGCACAAACACCCACGGCATCCATTAGGTGAACATAACTTCTGTTTACAGATCGCTCTACGAATCTTAATTTCAATAAAAACTAAAGACAGGTAAACCGACCTGATAGCTGATAGGGAGTCAAACCAGGCCCAATGGAAAAACGCCTGGAAAAACAGCATACATGAAGAAATTATGAGTTTAACATCGATATTAACACAATTTCTGTGCAACATACAGCACATTATGTAAAGTGTGACACATTCAACAGATGGAGGCAAAGATTTGTTTTTCTGCACCTGTTTTCAATATACATTACGGGCTGATATGGTAAATTAGAAATTATAAACTGCACTTTCCCCTGTCCGTGTGTCCTGTCAGGATAAATGTTTTTGGATTATTTTTCTGGGTCGTAGTAGCGCTTCTTCATGGCTCTGTATTTCCTCAGGAAATAAAGAGCCTCCAGTTCCTTGATGACATGTTCTCCTTTAGCCACCAGCTGCTTGATCTTCTCAGGGTCACTCACATCCTTGTTCTTCATGAAAGCCGACTTTAGTCGCTCTCTGAAATAAACTGGTCCCTTTGGGTATTCACGTCCGACATACAGCAGCTGAAAGGAGGAGACGAGAGGAGACTGTTGCAGATCTGAGCAGAAAGAGCCTTTAAAAAAAACACAATAATACATTTACTTACATTTTTATACAGCCTGATAACCTCACCCCGTAAAGGGTTGGCCATGTCAGAAACAAAGCTTTACCTCCCTGAAACAAGACGAGAAAAACTTGAACAACAAACAGAAACTTAGCTAGCTGATTAGCTTAAGCTAGCATTCCAAGCGCCGAATTAACCTCAACTTCCGCAAACGGAAATAAAGTTAGTTTGGAAAATAAATGCAGATCAATAACGGTCATACTGATCAATATTCATATTTACACGTAAAAGCACATCAACAAAGCACCGGGGAAAAGGTTTCTCCTTTGCGTTCGACCTCAGCGCGATTCAACTTGTACACATTGCCGTAAATTATCGTCCCGTGTCGCAAATGCAAACAAGAAACTGCGCATGTGCGAAGGTTTCCATGGTTACGCGGACACACTCGGTTAAAGCCACTATGGTGAGTATTTGACCGTTTCTTCGACTATTTCTCCTCAGTTTATCACGTTTGAACGTCATGTTTTGTAAAATTAAATCATATCTCCAAAAAGAGAAAGACTTTTGAAAGCTGACCTAGCACAAGTGAAGTTAGGAGTGCTTTCTTTTCTTTTTCTTATCCTAACTTTAGTTGAATGGTCATCAATCTTCCTGTCCTTGTCTGCATTAGAACAGCAATAGTCATATTCAAGTACATGTTAGTTGTTTTTTCCTCCTAATGATTAAATTTGTGATATTTTATTGGTTTGATATTTAAGAAGGGACAAAAGTTGGTCAAAGCTCAGAAGAAGCAACAGAGGGAGGAAGCGAGGAGGCTGCGAGAGGAAGGTGATTCAGAAGTTTCTGGTTATTTTAAAAAATATTGGGCATTATCTGGAACCAGCTGTCCTGCAAATATATATTGGGTATATGTGTAAATCCTCGTGTCCTGTTTAATCTAACAGAAGAAGCCCGGCTACAGGCTGAGAGAGAAGAACAGGAGAGGCTGGAAAGAGACAGAAAGCAGAGGGAGGTGGAGAAGCTGGAGTCCAAGGTAGAGTCCCACCATGTGCCCAGGGACTGTCTTCAAAAGGTCAAAAAGTGGCCTTAAGACGATTAAACAAAAGCAAATGCTGAGACTCGGCACAAGTAGATAAATGTTAACGACCTGTTTTAAAGAGCTCATTTAGTGTTGGAGGAATGAGCTCATGGATGTTTTGCTGACAGGATCTTGAGCGTAGAGAGGATGAGCTGAATGACCTGCGTCATCTACTGGAGGAGAGGAACACTGCGGTAACCAAATGGAAGAGAGATGCAGCCGAGGCAGCCAGGGTGCGTCCTTCTGTTTGCAAACACCACATTAAAATAACGTCACATTCATTCATTCATCCGAGGCTGAAAACACGTGACCAAAAACAGGAACAGATTCTCCCTGCTGTGAGACAAGCCCCAGTGATTTTTTTAACAATTTTGTCAGAATAATGCACTAAAAACGAGAGGTAATTTATTAACCAACCTTCTGCTGTTCCCTCTGATTCAGTGGGAGAGATACATGCGCTGCGACGGTTTCCCAGACCCAGAGGAGCAGCGAGAGATCAACACATTTATCAGCTTGTGGAGGGACGACCCAGAGCTGGACATCAGGGAGGTGTTCAAAAAATGCCACATCGCCCTAAAGGTCTGTAAGAATCCATATGTAAAAAATAAACAAGTGAAGCCATCAAACATCTGTTAAAAACGTACGGTTGCCGTCAGTTTACATCCATGAGCACGATAGTCATAATGTAATGATTTATTGAAACGGTTTCCCATTGTAATGATTATACAACATACAATGGTATAAAAACTTTTATGTGCACAGGTTAGAATTAATTGTGGATTTTCTCCAAGCCACACTGGGTCGAAATGATGCGTGCAGGCTCAGATACCAGTGCCAGTACCGGGTCGGGCCACATCTAGCCTTAAAACTTTATAACTCTTCATGTAGACTGAACAAAGTGTTGGAAACATTCCTCAGATTTTGGTTTATGATGACATGACAGCATCTCACAGCTGCTACAGATTTGTCGGCTACTTCTAACTAGCTTTTGCTACTTTTAACTAAACTTTGGGCCAATTATTTTGCTACTTTTTAACATTTAACCAACACTTTTCTATCGTTATCCAGTCTTTTATCACCTTTAGCTTTTAGCCAGTATTTCTACATGACATTTCTAGCTAGTTTTTGCTACTTTTAGCTTTTAGCCAGCCTTCTTTATTTTTTAATCAATCAGAATCCGAATGCCTTTATTGTCATTGCACAGAAGCAGTACAGCCCGTCCAAACATGGGTAGATGGGGTGCCTGAGGCTGTAGCCGACATGGGAGGTGCTGCCTTTATCGTTAGATATAAGGAAAAAGGAAACACGAGGAAAGAGGTGGTTAAAAAAAACAAAAACAATCATATCTCTGAAGTTGCAAAAAAAAAAAAAAAACTCAGCACAAAAAAGCAACATACAAATGACATGATAAGACATATGCATGTGAAGGTTCACGGGACAAAGAGCAGAAGCAGGGGAAGGAGCAGGAGGAGAAAATGTGTCCGCCATCACCGAGAGCAAGAAGGAAAAATAAAAAAAAAGCTAAATATTTACTGCTTTTAGCTACTCTTTTCTACACTGGGTTTTGATTTGTATAGCCAGCCTTTAACTATTTTTGCTTTTAGCTAGCCCTTTGTTACCGTTAGATTTTAGCCTATATTTTCAGCATTAAGTTTCTAGCTAGCTTTTGCTACATTTAGCTTTTAAATTGACATGATCTGGTGGTATGGTGTCGAATCCAACTGCAGGCAGAGGCAGTAGGCTCCAGGTATAAGTAATAATTTATTTTACAAACAAAAATGCTGACGGAGCAGCAAAACTTACTTTCACAAGGAGGGAGCAGACATGAAGAGAAAAGTCATACCAAGTCATCGTGGAAGGTTTGGATAGATAGCCAATGCTCAGATACCAGGGGAGTGAAAACGCAGCATAAACACTGAAGGAGATGTGAGGACCTCCGGAGACGTGAGGACCTCCAGAGACGTGAGGACCTCCGGAGAAGTGAGGACCTCCAGAGAAGTGAGGACCTCCGGAGACGTGAGGACCTCCGGAGACGTGAGGACCTCCGAAGAAGTGAGGACCTCCAGAGAAGTGAGGACCTCCGGAGACGTGAGGACCTCCGGAGACATGAGGACCTCCGGAGACGTGAGGACCTCCGGAGATGTGAGGACTTCTGGAGCCACTGAAGATGAGGAAGGCAGTGAGACATCAAGGCCGACACCCACAGAGACGCAGGAGTATGGGTTGTCGTCCCCGACACCCACAGACCCACTGGAGTGTGGATCATCATGGCCGCACCCTGTGCAGGCACAGGAAGGTGGGTTTGGCTGCTTCGTAGGCCGACGAGGCGTGGCTGTTTCAGGAACTGCACTTCAAACATAAAACTTGTTTTAAAAAACAATAAAGATACATGACTTAAAACCTTTCATCCCTGGAAACAGGACAATTCAAATAAATAATCATAAGCGTGTATGTAAACTTCTGCCAGCAGCTGTAAGTTCAGATGTGTTGCTTTTCAGTTGGTCGAGGAGCTGGAGAGTCTGCTCAAAGAGTCCCCAGATCCCACAAAGACTCTCATCTACCAGGAGAGCCTCCTCCATTTGCAGGAGGTCATCGACTCCAAACTAAACCTCTCATGCGAGGAGCTCGTCAAGGTAAAAAACTCGAAACAAAAACGGCAGAGTTAGCGTTTGCGTTTTGAGCCCGTCTACTTTTTCGTCACAGAAGACAAACCAAAACATGGAGACTGTGGTTCAAGACACAATGATGACACTGTGTCTCTGGGCCAACCTCAAAAAGAGTCCAAGGTCGGTGTGGAAACCAGGGGCCTGTAGAGCTAAAATCCTGCACCCAACGTACCCAGAGTCGCTCGTCACGGGTGTCTGTTTTTGTTGCATCCAGCTTTAAAGGCTTGAACTTCAAGGACGTCGGCCTGAGCTTTCAGCTTCCCAAGCAGCTGGTTGAGAGCGATGTCATCGTGCGGATCCTCTACACACGATACGACCACCTGACCATGCTGTCCAGGGTGACTCATCCCAGAAGCCCCACGGCCCGTCGCAGGTTTAACAGACTTTCTTCTCAGAAAAAATCCACATTCATAGATACTTGCATCGATCCGTTATCTGATCTGTCCGGGCTCGGGTCTCTTGCAAGGATCAAGGACATTCTGAAAAACTCAGCTCTGCAGGAGGCTCAGAAAGATGATGATACCCAGAGAGCCAAGGAGGTGCAGTCCAGGGAATCTAGGAGGAGTAAGGTAACAGAAGGCAGCAACTTCCTGTTTTGTGTTGTACCACCAAGAGAGGCGTTTTTATTCTGACTCTCTCTCAGAGTGCGAGGAGCCGGTCAAGAAAAAGCTCCGCTCGGACTTCGGTTGGCAGGAGGAGTGAGATATTCACACAGATGGAGGCGCTTAACGGTAACTTACAACTAGACAAATCGCATTTCCTGCGAAAATGCAGTGTGAACGCTTTTTGCTGAAGAACTTTCTGAAAAACAGCTGAAATTGGCTAAAAACATGCTTTCAGCTTCTTTTTCTCATTTAGTAGCTAAACTTTTAGCTATAAGGTTGACTATGCAAGCTTTTAGAAATAGTTACTTTTAGTTAATTTTGCTTATTTTTATTTTAGCTGTGTTTTAACCATTTTTCTTGCCTTTAAATACAGTTTTGCTAGTTTTAGTTTTTAGCTAGTTTTGTTTATGTAGGCTTTTAGCAACATTTTTGCTCATTTCAGCTTTAAGGTATGATTTTACCAGATGACTCCTGCTAAATTTAGACTTTAGCTATAGTTTTGTTAAATTAGGCTTTCATTTTTATTTTAGCCTTTAGCTACTTCATTGCTAATTTTAGGTTTTACCAACTGCTTTGCTAATTTTCGCTTTCAATCAAGCTTTTAGCTATGGTTTTACTAATTAGTTTTTAGCTCCTGCTTTGCCAGCTGAGCTTATTAGCTATGGTTTTAATAATTTTTGTTTTTAGCTACTGATTTGTTAATTTTAGTTATTAGCTAAGTTTTTAGCTAAGGTTTTACTAATTTTAGCTTCTAGCTATTGGTTTGGTCGCTTTTAGCTAAGCGTTTTACAGATTTAAGCTTTTAGCAACAATTTTGCTAATTTTAGCTATTAGCTTATAGATATGATTTTACTAGTTTTAGCTACTGCTTTTCTATTTTTAATTAGCTACGGTTTTATTAATTTTTGCTGTTGTTTAAGCTTTTATCTGTTGTTTTGCTATCTTTAGCTTTTAGCTTCTGTAATGCTTGAGCTTCTTTAACACATTTCAGCTCAGTCTTTAAGCACTCGGACTCCTCGTGTATTTTCACAGAAAACACTTGTTTCAAGTTGATCTTTCCTCTCCTCAGCCGAAGCCTCGGTCGCTCTTCAGCCGACACAGACGGTGTGTGGCGTCCAGGTGGTGGATCTGATGGAGTTCACGCCTCTGGGTGGAGTTTTCTGCTACGGCCTGTTTCAACTTCCTCCTCTGCCCCAAAAGGCGGGAAAGTGGATGATGCAGCAGGCGAGTGATAAATATTTTAAGTGATCTGCGCCGGAAGCCGACTCGGCTCATCCTCCGTTTACTTTCTTGTATTTTAAAGGATTTGGGCTCCGGGTTAGAAGTGTTCCCTCACCCCACAGCCGACGACCCCTGCTCCGTTGGGGTGTCTGTAAATCTGCCCGACTCCGTGGTATTCTTCCAACCTCCACACGTGGCTCGCTGGGACGCTGCAGGTCCACACATATTTAAAATAAAGCAGAATCATATTTGAGCCAAACCTTCTTGAAGCCATCTTTTTCACTCTCAGACACGCAGTGGAGGATGGATGGCATCACCGACGTTTCCTTTGAGGAGACCAAAGCCAAAATCTCCTTCCGGATGGAAACGTTCCAGCCGTTCGTGCTGATGCAGAAAACTTACGTCAACCTGCCCTTCCAGAGCTGGGAGCTGCGGCCGCTGGGCCAAGACTCGGCTCGTTTCTCCGTCAGCGGGCCGCTCTTTAACCTCAGCATCACCGTTCAGGCAAGGAGCTCACGCTGTAAACAAACACCTTAAAAACAAACAAACTACCACTGAAGGCTGTTCAGGACAACAGCTTAATAGTTGTTGCAAATATTAGCATCAATAGAACAAGATGGCCACCACAGCGTAGCAGCCTTGCACAAAAATGGCTACAACTCCTTTATTTTACAGGTCGTGTGGTAAAGTGGTAGTAGCCGAGAGTCATCCACATCTTATGGTCTGAGAGCCAACTCATCATCTGAGATCTGTTCTTAAAACTTTTGGCATTAATTTTTGTATCAGTGCTGTGTGTTAGCATAATATCTCATGATGGATTGTAATGGAAATCATCTGGACGTCCCTCCACAACCGATGACCTTTTGGAGTCGACCCAATTCAAGATGGCTGCCACGGCCTGCTGAACTTAGAAACACAGAAATGGCTGCAACTCCATTTTTAAGCTCAAATATGGTGTGGTAGTCGCTGAGAGTTATCTTTGCTAATAATCCCTTTAAACAAGGTCATATCTAAATTAACAATTTTAAAATATTTGTCTTAATTATAGTAAAATAATATTCCACGAGGAATCTGCTTCCATTCAATTTGATTTCTGAAGGTCATCTGAGGACCCTTACTGGATGAATGCTTCCTGGCCCTCAGAGGGGCCCCTGACCCCAAAGTTGGGAACCTTAAAACTTTGACATGAACTGTTTGTTAGCAAAATATCCCACAAAGCACTGGCTCAGCGGTTGTATATCTATATTGCAGGGCTATTCAACTGGTGGTCCAGGGGCCAAATCAGGCCCACGGGTGAGCTCAGTTCAGCCCACCAGTGGGTTCATCTTTAAATAAAACTATTTTAAACCATAAAACCAACTTAATGACAATAACAGCTGGATGTCCGGCCCCTGAGCTCTTGGCTTTCAGTAACTGTGGCCCCCTGGGCAGTTCAGGTGAACAGTCCTGCTCTACAGCAACAGTTCAACATTGTTCTGTAAGTGGATGAAAACGGGAGTAAGGAGGTGAAACTGTGGAGTTCGTCTTAAACCAACAGGGTAAGGAGTGCATGCTGCAGCTGCAGGAGGACAGAGGCCTCCACCACGTGGTGGGGAGGTGGATGAGCCGCCCCGCCCTGCAGACAGCCATGTTCAGCGCCGGGATCAACATCTTCGTCGAAGAATACGCAGACGCGTACGTCAGCAGCCTCGACAAGGTCGGCAACTTCCGCATCATAACCGAGCGAGCGCTACTTTTTAAAACGAACTTTTAAAAAATAACTATTTTGTTTGCACACCCATAAAGTATCCAAATGAAACTCCAAGATTCCAGAGTGTTTATGACGTTTGTTCAGCGCATTAAAAAAGAAAACAACTCTTCTTCAGGACCCGCTCGTGGAGCGCGCTGCCTACGAACAGATGGCGCTCTCCGCCTCTTCCTGCGCGTTCTCGTGGAGCAAGTGGAACGGCGAATGTGGATCCGAGCGCCTCGTCCTGAAGGTACCAGATCTTCACTGACAAACAGTTCCTTCTCGACACCCGGAGCAGCTCAGAGGTTTTCTTTTTGCAAACTTCTGGTCCGGCTGTGAGCACAGCAACATTTGACCTTTATAGACTTCTCTTCAAAACGTTCATCTCATTCCCCACATTTTTAAAATGTTTAACTATTTACAAAAAAATCTGATTTAAAAATACATTAGGATCCTTTTGAAATTCTTCAAAAACGTTTAAAACCTGCTTCAGTGCAAGTTCGTCTTGTGAAATTAAAGCTTTTAGTTTGGCTTTTAGGCCTACGACTTTTAATTTTAGCTAACTTTTCACAATTTATTTGTAACCATTACTTTTATTTAATGTTTTGCTACTTTTGGCTTTAAGATACGCTTGTGCTACATTTACCTTCGTTCCTTTACTTTTGGTTTTTGCGTTTCTGCTTTTGGACATGAGCATTTTGCTACTCTTAGCTTTAGGCTAGTTATTTTATTTTATTCCCCCTTTTAGCTTTTACATCAGCTTCAGCAAACTGTAACATACCTGTACAATTCAAGTTGCATTTTTACCGAAAAAAAAAGTTTTTTCTCCATTTCTGTCCTTGCTGTACGTCTAACATGACGTCATGCCATAAGCTCTCAGACATGGCTTCTCAGACCACACTATCAGCTGGTTTTCTAATTATCTCTCAGATCGGAGGCAATGTGTTCAACATAATGATACTTCTTCCAGTTATTTAACTGTCAATGGTGTACCACAAGGCTTATTCTTAGGACCCACCCTCTTCACAATCTACACAACGCCAGATCATTCATGACACATCCTTGCATTTCTATACAGATTATAGTCGTTTATTGTCGAGCTAAAAAAAGTTGCTAAGGTTTTCCAGCTTTTATATTTCAATGTCATCCAGTCCGATTTGTTACATCTCAAACTGGTGCTAAATGTTGATAAAACCAAAGGGCCTCATGTTGAAAACTTGATAAAGAAATTGAAATTAAAATTGGGTTTCTTTTTCAGAAATAGATCTTGCTTTACTTTAAATGCTAGGAAACGCCTTGTAACTGCTACTTCCCTTCCGTCCATTGATTATGGTGACATTTACATGAACGCTCCTGCAAGCTCCTTGCAGATGTTGGATGCTGTCCAACATGGTGCACTATTACTTGTTGTACCCATCACTGCACCCTGTACTCTTCGATCAGTTGCTCATTAATGTCACAGACTCTCACTGGTACATTTCCATCTTTAAATCACTCGATCTGCTGCCTTCATACATCTCTTCCCACGTCTTGTCAGTGCAGTTACAGCATGCACCCTTAAGACATCATTACCTGCAGTGTCCCCTCAGTGTGGACTGAACTCAGCAAAAGTGCCGTTTCTTATTCCGCTCCCGTTTCCTGGAACACCTTGCAAAAAGATCTGAAGCTCTCGACTTCGACACCTCTGAGGGATTTTAAACAACTGTTCAGTTCAATGCAAGAGTCAACGCAGACATGTTCCTGTTTTTAGTATTTTACACCGTTTTATAATGTAGCTCGATTTTATTTGGTTTTATAGCACTACTTTTTATTTTATATGCTTTTTTTGATTATTTGTTCTGTACCTCATCTTTGTTTTTTTGTTTTGTCTAAAACAGGTCTCTTGTAAATGAGTCCTCGTGACTCAATGAGACTAACCTGTAGAAATAAAAGGTTAAAAAATAAAAATTCCAGAAAAACAACCCAGACATGATTTTTTTTTTTTTTTTGAATCTCCTCCTCCAGGTGTGCGAGCACCATGACCCCGGCCCGGTCCCTGAAGGTTCCTGGAGTCTGTACCTGCTGGGCGCTCAGAGGAGCCAGAAACTGGAGCTCACCGAGAACAGCCGAACCTTCTCCTCAGACCATTATCCTGGCAGCGAGTTTCACTCCACCTTCTTCCACATGCTTCAGGACAACATGAGTCCCGACGGGATCGCTAAGAGCAGAAACTCCCATTATTTGTTTGTCAACACGGTACAGGAACTTCTTTGGGCTACCAGACCCCTGGTCTATTCAGGACCAGGAGGGGCCCCAGTTTTACAGCGGCAGGCACAAACGAGCACACCTTCCGTTTGAGAATAGGTTACTTTATTTGTGCAAAGATCCACGCATCTTCTTTGGAACATACAAAAAGTACATAGTTGAAAACTGTGAGAACCACAGTAAAAAATGCTTTGGTGTTAAAACGAGTAAAAAGTTTGTATCAGTCAAGAATATGGACACATTCATTAAGATGTGGCCAAACCTTTTATATTATAGAGACACGCAAAACTAATCTCAAAAATACCAAAAAGATAAAAGCAGTCGATTATCAGTGTTCCAATTTAAGGTCATTTGTTGCTTCCTGTGTTGCAAAGAAGAATATTCTAAAGCCTCTTATCGTGAAATACGTGAAATGTTTTTAAAAAAAGCCTCATGATTCTGTCAGAGCGGCCTGTAGTTTGAATCCCTGTGACGTGATCGGTCGGTGTCGTGTGCGGCCGTGGCGACTGACGGGGACGATTTGACGAAGCATGGCGAGTCCAAACGGGCGGAGCCGACATGCCGCCGCCCGTCCAGAGACGTGCAGAAACACACAAACCTGATCTGATACATAAAATCCTCCGGGGGGTTACCCGTCCCCCCGAGGCCTGGTCTGGACTGTCAATGCAAGTCTTGTTTTAGGAATATTCAAGTACCAGTAGGTATCCCATCATCCTCTGCTCTGAAGCGCTCATTTTCCCATAAAAACTTGCTGCAAAGGGCTGTCGACGTGGAACCGTCCTTCCATTGGACCCGGGTTAGACGGGGGGTTGTCCGTTGTGCCGAAGGCCCGCGTACGGCCACAGCAGCTGCTGGATGGTCATCCAGGAGTCCCCCGTCCCCACGGGCGCCGCATCGGCTGCGGGCTGCATCACCAGGTGGGCCAGCAGAGCCAGCAGACCTGTGTGGGATTAATAATCTGATTAATTTCCCAAGGGTCAACATAGTTAATATCCACTACAGTGTAACTTCAAATCAGTCAATTACACAAAATTAAAAATATTTATTTAGCGTTTTCATTGGTCTTTATTGTCATTTGTAAAAACACAAATGCAGACGTTTCGGTTTGTGTCCGTTAGCAAAATATTTTATAAACCACTAGATTCACTAGAGAAAATAAATGCAGTGTGAATTCTAGCTAAAAATCATTCTGAAATAAAGCTGAAATGGAAGAACAAGTTTAAGTTAGCAGAAGAAAGCAGAAAGAACGCACTTGCTGAATTACGTTTAAATAATGAGCTCCAAAATTAAGAAATTACCCCCCAAAAAAGATGAAATTTGTTTAAAAAAATAGCTGAAAGGTCAAAAAGAAGCTTAAACTACCAGAAGGAAGTGGAAAGCACTGAAATGAGCTTTAAAAAAAAAAAAGTGGAATTAGCTGAAAAAGCTCAAATTAGCAAAAACAGCTGAATAGTGGCTGAAATAACTTAAAAATTAGCATGAATAAGCTGAAAGGAGTATAACGAGCTGAAACTGGCATAAAGAGATTAGTTGGGCTGAAAGTAGCAGATATCACAAAAAAAAACCTTGAATTTATCAGACAACAGCTGAAATTAGCTAAAAATAATACTAAAGCTAGCTGAAAAGGTTCGATTTCTGGCAGACCATTTTTTGCCACGACAGATTTCTACAAATACGCTAATTTTAAATTAGCAAACGAAAGCAGAAAGAACACGTTCGCCCAATTAGGCTGAAAGGAGCAGAAGATCTTAAGTTGAAAACCCGTGAAAGAGTGAGTCCGCAAAAGTCAAACCGCAACGTATCGAGGGAGTACTGTAGTGTCCGTTTACATGTGGCTCCGAAATATTCAACAACTCAATGAACAGCTTGACCTGCTAGCACCACTAGAATCGCCAACCACATCCAGAGACCCCTGCTCCCTCTGGCTACGGCCGCAGCAGCTGGGCGGGATCCAGTTGGGTTGTGGGACGAAGGCGGAGGCACTCCTGGATCTGTGGACGTCGGTGTGGATGAAGAGCTCGGACTGAAGGGAAGAGTGGAAAACATGCTTTAATCAACAGAAAATGATGGGAGGTTACCAAAAATGAGCTGTGACGGTGGAGAGCCATCACAGGACGAGGAGTGGGAAAACTCATTTGTGGTTAATTAATGAAACGGACTGCAAGCAGAAAATAAGCTGCAGTTAGAAAGAATGGAATGCTCTTAGACGTCGTTGCAAAATCACAAGCACGATGAACACGGTGAAGAGTCGGCAGCGGTTAAAGCAGCTGGAACAAATGATCAACTTGCTCCACGTTCTGCTCGCCCGTCGTCACTTACAGCGTTACAAACAGCTCGTCCTGACTCCTGACGCCACACGAGGAAAGGAGCAGAGGAAAGTTCAGAACACCGCAACATTTGCTCACATGAAACACAAAGCTGCGCCACAATTCGCACCAAATCACGTTAACGAACACGTTAGTAAACGACAGAAGATGGCGTCAGTAAAGCTCAACAGGTAATTACAACCAGTTAAAGTTGATTAAGTTGGGACGTTGCATAAAATGAAAATAAAAACTGAATGCAAAAACTGGAAACCCACATTTTATAAACACATTCTATAAAAATGTCATTATATGGGTTAATGAGGTTTGCAAATCATTGCATTCTGTTAATTTTACACAGCGTCCCAACTTCTTCAGAATCGATCAACTGGAGCTCCATGCATGAAGAAAAACATTCGTCCCGTTGATGTGAAGCCGCTGAGAGGCTGAAGGAAGACGCTCATGTTTTACAAACGATCTGAAGCCCCGAGAGTCAAGCAGCTGGTCCAGCAGAGCTCACAGCACGGAAACGTTTCAGCACTTACGAGGTTCCACAAGCTCACCCACATTTTAAAACTCAACCTTTGCTGCTTATTAAAAAAAACAAAGTATTACATTATCTTTTAACAGTTTGGCTTCTTCAATATTAAAAAAAATGTCACAAATGGACAATAAGAGTTGGTAAAATCAAAGGGGGTTACAACACGTGGAAGCTCGCAGTAACTCTCCCACGGTGCAGTTAGCCTGTTAGTGTTGCTGCAGGAAGCCAGAACTGGACTAACGTCTTCAGGGGCAGAATGAAGGAGGTGAGTTTGCTGCCCAGCTCACTGAGACTGGACCTCCTCCTCTCTGCCAGCTCCTCCTCCTTCGGCTCGTCCTCCGACTGGCAGTCTGAGTTGGTGCTAGGCGGCCTGTGGGCATGCACCGTCACGCATTCACAAACACGCACACGCACACACGAGTGAGCTTACATATTCACAGTGTTTTGTGAGCACACACCAGCACGTTTCGTGCACAAGTGAATAAATGTGCATGAGCAGCAAAGAAAAGCAAGCACATTTTATTTATTTTTTAACATCAAATGATTAAAAATCTTGTTTCCAACTATATGCAATCCAAGCCGAGCGCACAACGCAGCTCCACAATCTGAGACTTTCAGGGTTTAGAGTCAAACGTTTTCTTTTCCAAACATTTGTTGAAACTTACATCACAAACTGAATCTGAATTGCTGTTTTGAAACTGAATTTTTCATTCAACCTTTATTTAGACAGGTTAATCCCATTGGGCCTCGGGGACTCTTTTACAAGAGAGACCTGATTTTAACAAAGAACGATAATTTAATGGTTTGAAACTGAAAATTCAGGTTTTTTTGAGTCACACATCCGGGTCCTTCCAGAGTAATCGAACGAAGATTGACAGATTGACGTTTCACGTTAGTGAAACTAACTTTAGGGAAATGAAGGAATGTGGTTCAGTATCAAGGAGGTGGTAAATCACAAAGAAAAAGAAAATTAAGGTAATTTTCGCTGTATATGTCGCAGGTTTGTTTGTTTTTTGCAGAAATTAGCATGCCTGCGACTTATACAGCAAATTTTTATTTTATTTTTATTGTACAGCGCTTTGTGGTAAGCGCTTTATAAATAAAATTTACTTACTTTACTTACAAAGCGACGTATTCATGTTTTTTTCCCATATTTATAAACCAATTTTTGGCTGAGATATGACGATTTCATTCATTCGGACATGGAAAATATTGAACAATACCATTTTCAGCCACTAGAGGGCGGTTGAGTAATATGGCAAGCCAAGTGTCTCATTAATAGGTAAAAGTGGCTATTAATGAGACACTTGGCTTGCCATACCAAGCCACCTTCGTCTCACTCCGAAACTCTTGGACCAACCATCAAATCAGCTGCATTTAGCTGCGCTGCCCAGATGAAATGCAGCTGATCTGACCGTCAAAGTGCATTTATTAAGGAAAAGTTCAACTGAGACACACCTTTGCTATAATTCTGAGTGAACAAATTATTGTTTTTAAGTGTTAATCTTGTTAAATTCTTGCTAAAGTCCTCCCATACATGCTCCCGCGGCCGCCATTTAGCAGCCAATTAATTTTTGGCACAACACCGGCCCACGTTTCTGGGTTGTCAGCGGTGATGTGTAATAGATGTGATGTACACGGCGGTGCGACGTGTACGGCAGCAAGTGCGGTAACTTCCGTTTCAGTGTAGTTGTCGAAATCTGTTGCGCCAAAAATCAATTGGCGCCGCGGTAGCGCGCACGAGAAGACTCACCGTTTCAGTTCTTAAATATTTAACAAGATTAAGATCCAAGATAATTATTTGTTTGCTCGAGATTATAGCGAAGGTGTCGCCGTTGACCTTTTCCTTAATGAATGCACTTTAATGGTTGCTATCATTTCGCCTGCCAAAGATCGATTATGACTCGTAATTTAACAAGCCATTAACCAAACCATTAAATTCAGTTTCAATGTAGTGAAATTCAGTTTCAGAACAGAAATTCAGATTCAGTTTGTGATGGCGTCCGTTTCAGCCCATACATTTGATCCGTGCAGGCACCTCAGGCTTTCATGGGTTGAAAACTTAAACAGCAAATATTCAAAGTGCTTCTGATAATTGCCTCCCCATGCAAAAGCTCATGGACCAGAGATGCAGAAAAGATAGCCGCCGTGTGTTTTAATGTCACAACAACTGACATTGAGCTTTTTGACGTTTCAGTCGATTTCTGAACTCGAGTTTCCACATTTGCAGGAAGAACAAATGCTCAGAGACATCTGTATTTTCCTGACAGCACACGCGACGCGAGGAACTCGCAGCAGGAAGTAGCCATCTTTTTTGCACATGGGTTTGTCTGTTTAAATAAAAACAACCTGACGCAGCCAGCGAGACATCCACCTCCTCCACATGTCTTACCCCTTCATCATGACCGAGGGCTCTTCAGTGTCAACCCAGGCCGCGGAGCTAACAAACCGCTTTAGTGGGGGACGTGTCATGCTCTTCCCTGCCACATTCCTGAAAACCGCCGTTATCACAGAGGGGCAAAAGAACAACAACCCCCAAATAACACGAGCCCACAGAACAGAAGACCTGATTTTAACGTCGCATATGAACGCCGTCTTGGCAGCAGATTTAAAAACCTACCACGGTGATCGCCTGGTCAGTCGCTCTGCATCCGTCTCGAAACCGTCCTGGAGTTTTGCCTGTGTTAAAAAACAATAAAACATTTTTAATGTACAGTAGTTAAATCAAGAAAGGAAGCCGTCATTCCCTGAAGGAATGTGCATCGCCTGCTGCCTTTCACGCAGGAGTTTTAGATCAACCCAAGTGGAAAAATGACCAAGTTCTTGTCAATTTGGTCAAACGTTAACAAACAACATTATGAGCATTTTCAAGAGGAGTCCCACTCAGCGTTGTTAACAAACCTCAGCTACTACACCAAGTTTTAGCTGAGTATCTGTAAAACAGAGCAGGTCGGGTGTTGGCTAATGATCAGCTGCCATCTTTAATTGGACTGACTTCAAAAGTTTTTTTAGCTGGTTCTAAATTTCTCTCACTTGAATGAGTGATTGGTTGATTTGATGTGTTTTCATTAGAACACTGTTTTGATTCGCTTTAAAATGTTTTTTTTTTATTGTGCATTGTGACTGTTGTTGTGTTTTATTGACAAACTGGACAGCACGTTGGTCCAATGTTTGCTTTAAGTGCTTTACAAATAAAGCTGCGGTGGTATTGTAGTTGTAGATCCACATCCAATAATTACATTTAAAGTTTAATTAAAATCTGTCCAGAAATGGTAGAAAAAGTCAAAGTTTGCAGAAGAAACAACACATGTTGCAGAATTGGGTTTAAACAAGCAGAAACGAGCACAAAAATGAGGAAATTAGCTTAAAAAGCTAAAAGTACCACAAAAATAGCCGAAAAGTAGCTGAAAAGGCAGAAAGAAGCATAAACTACCAGAAGGAAGTGGAAGGAGCTGAAATTAGCTTAAAAAAAAAATCAGGGGGAAAATGCTTAATTTAGCACAAAAACAGCT